TCCGGAACGACACCCCAGCTGCTCCGGGTTCTGGCCCCAGCTCTGATCATGGTTTTGTTTGTGAGGGGGCTCGTGAGAGGGTCACTAGACAACCCCTCTACTTCTTGCGAGGGTCATGATTCCTCAAAGAGCGCGTCCTAGCCAGAGTTTAGGCCGCAGGACAGTTCCTTGGAGAATACGGTCAGGACACAGGTTGCGTCTGCATAAGCCACTCGTTGGTGAAAAGTTGAGCCCTTTCACCAGTCAGAGCGCCACCCTTTGCCTTGGGTCGTGTGTGCAGCGTGGGAACAGCTTTCGCAGTTCAGGTGTTTTCAATTTTGCCCCATGTTCGGTCAGGAACTAACAGCTCAGTCTCTTTCTCCAGTCGCTCCTGAGCGCAGTCAGCCCTGGGTCAGCCCTGAGCACGCGCGTGGTCTCCCGGAACACCAGGAAATGAGTGCCATTGTGTTTGTTAGCCTGGCTTCCTAAGCATCCCCTCTGGGCCAGAGTCATTCATTGTTCAGCTGTTACGCTGAAGCCCCCGAGTCAGCTGTGTGTTTTGGTGCCGGACCTGTGTGGTGCGGGGGAGGATGTGGCGTCTGCCTCCCTCTCCAGCCTGATTTCCCTGAGAAGGCACAGCCGCACGTGGCACCGTCTTGAGTCCTCGGGGATGGCCGTGCCCCCAGCAGGGCTGTCCTGGCTGCCCCTCCCGTGGTTCTGTCGGATCCCGGGCTCTACATTTCCCTTGTTGCCATGCGGATCTTTACCAGCCCCTCTTAATTTCTGACCACCAGGATTTTCATTATTTTTGACACCTTCTTCAGGCTTCTTTCCAAATACAGTCAGACCCTTCAGGAAAAGCTGTAGAATTCTGCCTGTCTCCTGGGGCAGAACCTCGGCACCACTGCACCGGAGCCGGGGCAGGGCAATCAGCCCGCTGCTCCTGGAATGATGTCCTCCCTGGGAGTGGGCGGGGGGAGGACGGGGGTATCCCTTGATCTCAGGCTGCCCTTCACAGCAGGGAACCTCTCCCCTGCAAGGGATCCGGGGTCCAGCACCCCTGGCCTGCTGCGCCTGCGGAGAAGAACGTGCCCTGTAGTGGGAGCCGAGTGGGTAAAGGGAGCGCAAGGGGTCGAACTGATACGTTCGAGTCAAAAATGACAAACTGAAGTCCTAACCCCTTGCACTCCAGAGTGTGACCTTATTTGGAAATAGGGTCTTTACAGACGTAATTAAGTCACAATGAGGTCAGTAGGCTGGGCTCTAATCCAACATGACCGGTGTCCTTGTAAAAGGGGGAATTTGGGCACAGAGACAGACGTGCACAGAGTAAAGACACACAGGGAGGATGCCACGTGGAGACAAAGGGACCCAGCCACAAGCCGGGGAGCACCACGGATTGCCGACAGTCCGCCAGCAGCTGGGAACGAGCGAGGAAGGGTTTCCCCGCAGGGAGCAGAGCCCTGTGGACGCCCTGATTTCCAACTCCCAGCGCACGGAACCGTGCAACGAGACATTTCTGTTGTTTTCTCCATTTTGCGGCACTTTGTTACGGCGACCCCAGGAAACTCAGTCCTCCCGGCGTGATGGCTGGGCCCAGCGCTTCTGCAGCGCAGGGCGTGACGCAGAGATGCCGGTACCTGCCCCACTGGGCTGAGACTGCAGAAGGGCAGGAGCTGAGGGGTGAGGGCGCCCCATTTTCTTGGCTGCACCCCTCCAGAGTGGAGTGTCTGGAGTGGAGTTCCTGTCACGTGGAGCTGGGCAGGGGGAGCACGTGGTGGTTCAAATGCCACAGAGTCACTGTTCTTCCTGGCATTTACTGATCTTCTTCAATAAATGTCTCTCCACTTGCTATATGCCCTTAGGACAATTTCCAGAGACTTTAAATAGTTGATTTTAAGTTTTTTTTTTTTTTATCAGTTAAACGGTTGTGTCACTGGGGAGAGGGTCCATCAAGGTCCCCGAGCCACCCTTCTGGAGGAGACACCTGTGTGGTTT